CGGTGTCCCAGTGCCTCATGAGGCCTCTTAAGCTGTGGCGGTGGTGAGTCAGTCTGGGCCCCGCCCCCTGGGCCAGGTGGAATCAGCCTGAGGAGGGAGCGGCCTTCCCCAGCTCAAATTACACAGAAGCCCGGTCGGAGCACACAGTTCAATCATCATCACTTGAGATTCCAGTTGAGCCGACTAAAGAGCGGGCTCTGCGTAAGCAGGAAATACACCAATGACTCCTCTTCTTGTGGGCTTGACGCCAAGCCTGCAGTCTGCCCCATCTACGAGAGCGATGGGATTCCAGCACAGACTGTCCAGCTTCTCCCTCTTCCCCTGAGAGCATATCGGAAAGCTGTGTCTGTTCTTCCTGCCTTACGTCTCCCTGTGAATTAACGACAGGCATTGAGCGATAGGCCAAGCTTTCGTAATCTTCTGCGAAGATATTTAGGATGGTTTGGAGGGCATCCTCTGAGCGTGCACACACTACATTGTCATCAGTATACTGAAGCTCTATGACAGAAGTTACGGTAACTTTACTCTTTGCTTTCAACCTACTCAGATTGAAGAGCTTTCCATCTGCTCAATATATGATTTCTACTCTGGTGGGGAGTTTCCTTCAACAAAATGTAGGATCATGGAAATGAAACTAATGAATAGAGTTGGGATAATAACACAACCCTGTTTAACACCTGATCAGTCCACAGTCCACAGAGTGTTGCAATTTACAGTGTCAAAAGCCTTAGTCAGATCAATAAATGCCATATACAGGGTTGGTTTTGCTCTCTGCATTTTTCTTGAAGATGTCGAGCAGTGAAAATCATGTCCAATGTCCCCCTAGAAGGCCAAAAACCATTTTGGGCTTCAGGAACGGTCACCTCGGATATTGTTAAAAGACGGTTTGCTAAGATCCTTCAAAAAATTTGCCAGCTGCAAATAGAGAGATGCCTCGATAGTTTCCACAATCAGTTCTGTCACCTTTTTAAAAGAGATTGATAATTTTGGCATCCCTAAAGTCTGTAGGGATCTCTTCTCCCCCAGATTTTTTCGATGAGCTTCTGAAGTTGTTGTGTAAGTTCAATTCCACCCACTTTGAAGACTTCAGCAGGTATACCATCAGGTCTGCTGGCTTTGTTGTTTTTCATTTGGTTAATAGCTGTACAGTGGTACCTCGGGTTACATATGCTTCAGGTTACAGACTCCGCTAACCCAGAAATAATACCTCGGGTTAAGAACTTTGCTTCAGGATGAGAACAGAAATTGCACGGCGGTGGCACGGCAGCAGCAGGAGGCCCCATTAGCTAAAGTGGTGCTTCAGGTTAAGAACGGACCTCCGGAACGAATTAAGTACGTAACCAGAGGTACCACTGTACACAACTCTCCCAAATTTGGAGATACTGAAAGCTCATCTTTAACTTGGTTTTGCAGAATTTGTGAGAGGACCTCAGCAGCTACTGGGGAGTTGCGGTTGAGGAGATGTTGGTAATGTTCTTCCCAGCTCAGTGCAATAGTTTCTTTCTTTCTTTTCAGAAGTGTGGTGCCGTCTGTTGAGCGTAGGGGGCATATGCCATGATTTATTGGCCCATAGATGGTCTTTGTGGCTTTAAAGAAACTCTGTGCATCATGAGTGTTGGCTAAGTGCTGGATCTCTTGAGCTTTTTTTTATCCACCAGGTGTTTTTTAGTTCTCTGGTCTTCTTTGAAGCTTAGCCTTAGAGCTGGCATAGGGTTTTTTTTCTTTTTTTAATAATAATTTTATTGAGTTTTCCATATTTAATCACATTTTATTACATAACTCTATAACCTAAAACATTGCTCAAACAGAGCATCGACCTCCTTCCCTCCCTCTAACTTCCAAATGTCTTTTAGTAAATTCTTAGCATTTCTATACCCACTTTTTTACCTTCGATCTTCTCTCAACGTTTCACCTCGTTATATGTAAATCAGCTCCTTATTTTCGCATTACAAAACATTTCAACTCAAACCTACAAACGTTTTCAAATGTTTACAATTTTCTTTCATAGAAAATATAAATTTGCTCCAGTCCTTTTGAAACAGTTCACCGCACCGATTCCGGATCTTCCCCATCAGCTTTGCCAGCTCTACGTATTCCACCATTTTTATCTGCCATTTTTCCAATGTAGGAAGATCCTGCTGCTTCCATTTCTGGGCCAGAAGTATCCTTGCAGCTGTTGTGGCGTACATAAACAAATTTACATTTTTTTAAAAAATTCCTCTCCAATTAAACCTAACAGAAATGCCTCTGGTTTTTTTGTTGAAATTATATTTAAAAACCTTTTCAACTCATTAGATATTGTATCCCAACAGTCTTGGAAGCACATTCATTTTAATAGCTGAGATTCTACCCATCAATGATAATTTCATTCTGGTCCAAATCTCTAGATCTCTCTTCAGTTCATTCCACACCTTTTCATAATTGTCCTTAAAGAGGTTTATGTTCTTCGACATGAGCCATACACCCAAATATTTTACTTTTCTTGCTATCATCATTCCTGTTTTTTGTTGTAGTTCGCCTACTTCTTTACTATCCATATTTTTAGTTAGTAATTTTATCTTGGTTTTATTGAGTTTAAAACCTGCTAGTTGCCCATATTCTTCTATCTTGTCCAGTGCTTCCACTGCACTGCACATTGGTTGTTCTAATGTCAATACCACATCATCAGCAAAAGCCTTAAACTTGTACTCTTTTGAGCCAATCCCAATACCTTTTATTTCTTTTGCTGCTTCTATTTTCTTCAACAGGACCTCCAATATTATTATAAATAATAATGGTGATAGCGGACACCCCTATCTGGTCCCTTTTGTTATCTCTATTTTTTCCATAAAATTATTATTATCAATTTAGCATGTTCTGAATATATGGCCCTAATGCCATTTAAAAACTTCATTCCCATATCCATAATTTCTAAATTTCTTTTCATAAAATACCAAGACACATTGTCAAATACCTTTTCGGCATCCAAAAACATTAACACCGCTTGTTTATCCCTCCTGGAATCCAGGTATTCAATTATGTCGACTATATTTCTAACATTGTCTTTCAACTGTCTACCAGGTAGAAATCCAGTTTGGTTCTTTCCAATCTCCTCTCCCAGTACTTCTTTAAGCCTATTGGCTAAAATACTAGCAAATAATTTGTAGTCATTACTCAGGAGCGAGATTGGTCTATAATTTTTAACTTGCGTTAAGTCTGTGCCTTGTTTAGGAATTAATGTGATATGGGCCTCTCTCAAAGTCTCCAGAATTTTATTTCCCAGTAAGATGTTGTTCATTACTTCCATTAAAGGGACTGACAGTTGCTCCAAACATTTCTTATAATATTTGGCTGTCAAGCCATCTGGTCCTGGTGCCTTTCCAATTATTGTTTGTTTTATTACTGCTTTTACTTCCTCCACTGTTATATTGGTATTGAGCTGGCTCTTTTTATCGTTGGGGATTTTCTGCAACCTGTTCATTTCCAGGAATTCTTCTATTTTTTCCTCATCTTCTTTTTCTTTTTTATATAATTGTTTATAGAATCTTTGAAAGTTCTTCCTTATTTCACCCGGATTGTCTACTGTTTTTTCCTTCCACCATAAGTTTTGTTATCGTATTCTGCTTTGGTCTCTTCCTTAACTGCCAGGCTAACAATTTGCCTGGTTTATTTGCAAACTCAAAGCTTCTTTGATTTAAGAATTTAATTTTCCATTCAATCTCTTGGTTTATCAATATTGAAAATTGTGTCTGTAGCATTTTTATATTATATTTAGGCTTGACTATCTTTAGGGTTGAGTGCTAATTTCTTTTCATTACATGTTATTTGTTTTAATATCTCTTCCTTTTTCTCTCTCTTAGTCTTTTTTGAATTGAGTTCTGCTGTATCCAAAATCCTCTTATTACTGCCTTAGAGGCATCCCATACTATATTTATGTCCACGCCTTTATTTAAATTAAGCTCCAAATAGTCCTTCAATGCCTTTTGCGCCTTTTCCAATATTACTTGATTGTCCAATAATCCATCATTCATTCTCCACCTAAATAAAATCTCTTCTTTTCCTTTCAGTTCCATTGTTAACGCATTGTGATCTGAAATAGTTTTAGGAAGAATTTCTGTTTTTGTTACTCTCGTTGCCAACTCTAGAAATCCAGATATAATCAATCCACCCAGCACTCTGGTTTGGTTCTGAGAAGTAACAATTGTTTCTCTAGTGGATGTTTTAATCTCCAGATGTGTATCAAATCATTATTTTTCACCAGTGTAAAAAACATTTTGGGCAGTTTCCCTTGATTTGAAACTTTATTCCATTTCCGTTCTATCCATCTCAAATGAAACTACCCCATTTAACTAACACATTAAAATAATACTTTGGTCCATAAATACAAACAATTTCTCCGCTAAGTCTTTATAGAAATCCATTTTTATCATTTGGTGTGTAAATTCCCACTATAATCAATTTTTCGCCTTGTGCTACCATTTCAACTCCTATTATCCTTCCTTTTTAATCTTTGAAAATCTGACGCAATTCATATTTTTCCTTTATATACAAAGCCACCCCTCTTTACTTACTATCATCTGCAGAGATATACTCTTACCCCAATCTTTTATTTTTAAGAATTCTTTCGTGCTTTTTCGCAACATGTGTGTCTTGTACAGTGGTACCTCGGGTTAAGAACTTAATTTGTTCTGGAGGTCTGTTCTTAACCTGAAACTGTTCTTAACTTGAAGCACCACTTTAGCTAATGGGGCCTCCCACTGCTGCCGCACCGCCGCCACGCGATTTCTGTTCTCATCCTGAAGCAAAGTTTTTAACCTGAGGTACTATTTCTGGGTTAGCGGAGTCTGTAACCTGAAGCGTATGTAACCTGAGGTACCACTATATACAAATTATGTCTGAATTCTGTTTTAATAATATATGTTCAGTTTTATCCTGCTTACCTTTATTATTTAAACCATTCACATTCCATGATATTATTTTCAAACCCATAATTGTCAGCAATTAAATACAGTCTTTATTCCTTAAATCTCTTTCTCTTCTTCTTCTTCCAGTGGTGTGTCATCTTCCTTCTTCCCCAGCTCTTTACCATATCTTCTCATAAATTTCACTATCTCCTGAGTAGATTTAATCTTAAATTTCTTGTCCTTATAAAAAAAAGAAACCCCTTCCGGGAATTCCCACTTGTACCAAATTTCATTCTTTCTCAGGATCAGGGTAATATCTTTATATTCTTCTCTACGTTTCAGAAATCTTTTGGGTGTTTCCTTGTAAATTATAATAATTTTTTCATTAATACACAGCTTCCTTTCCAGGTTTGTTCTTAGAATCAAATCTTTCATTTCTCTTGAATTTAAAAAGACAAGGCAGTCACCTGGAAGGTTTTTTTTACCTCTTTCTGTCTTATATTTAATCCTGAAAGCCTTATCAATTGTCTTTCCAACTTCTTCTTCATCCAATCCAAGCCAATTTGCTATTTCCATAATTAATCTTTCCTTTATATTCTCTCCTTCCTGTTCTATTACACCTCTGAAGCGGAGATTCAACTCCTTATGCTTGATCTCCATAAATGCCAAAGCATCCACAGTTTCTTCATGCATTTTTGTTAATTCCGCAACTTCTGATTTTATTTTCTCTTCCTCTCTTTTGTTTTCTCTGACCTCTTTTTGTGTCTTCTTCACTGTCTCCTCCAGGGCTCTTAACCTCTTCTAATTGGCCTTTTAACTCTGCCACTGATCGGTAATTTATTTCCTCAATTTTATCAAATTTATTATATAAAAATATTTCAGTATCTTTTATATCCTTCCTAATTTCTGCTAAAATCTCTGTAATGTCCATTTTAGGTTCCTCCTGTTTTGAATTTCTCCCATCCGTTGGTGTAGCTGTTGGTCCTTTCTTCCCCACCATCTTCTCTTTCTAATCTAATTTTCTCCCTTTTTCAAATTCCCTGCAATTCTTTATTTGACCTCCACGTGGCACTTATTCAAATCAAATTTCAAATTGCAATATTATAGTTGGCCACTTGGTGTCCCCCAGAGTAACTTCAAAAATTTCATTGCAATTAACTCCTTTAACCACTTGGTGTCATGTATCAAAGATGAACTGAAACCCGGAAAACAAAATAAGAGGAAGAACAAAAGCAAATGGCACAGGTTCCTTCTCGGGAAACAAAAGCTTTCTTCGGCTGCCAATACAGCCTAATCCAATTCTGGAAACCCCAGCCACCGAATCTTCATACGTCTCAATTCCAAAAATATTAAACAACTCCCCTCTTCGGCCTCTTCAATGACCTAATCCTCAGTAACAATTATAACCCCCCCCCAATAAATAAATAAATAAATAAATAAATAGAGGAAGATGACACAGTGAAATCTCAGTTTAGAGTCAAAATAAAACACAAGGAAAATTAAAGGTTCAAAGCTGCAAAACTCCACGGGCAAGTCGCTGGTTCAAACTCCTTATAGAACTATAGAGACTAGTTGCTGGCTCGTTAATCTCTTTTTCCTTTTCCAGTTACAAAGTTGCTTTCGGCAGAGCCAGCAGGGTTCCCCCCCCCCCCAGTGTTCCTGAGCTGCTTCTCAATTCGTAACTTTAAAAGTTGCAACACTGAAGCAAACATCAAGTCTTTAAGTATCTTTAAGTGACTATTTTCTCCCTTCCCTGAAGGGCTAGGGAAAATTAGCAGTTTGTATCCACTTATATCTGTTTGTAGCTGATCTTTTTGTGTCGGGAAATCCGCTGCCTTTTGCCATTGGAGCCAGAGGTTTCGCTCAGCAGAAGTAGCGAGTAGACCCCCTTTGCACCCGCGCCTCCATCCGCTCGGGCTTCCGAACCTTTTTACGGGGTCATTTGTATGGGGAGATATGCCAGGGGTGCCGCTGGGTCCCCAGTACCCAAAACTCCCTTTTGGGTTTTTTTCCAGAGCTCACAGTGCCTTTGTGAAGCTCCAATCTCCTGCTGAGCTCTGATTTTCCCCTAGAGGCTAAATCTGTGCCCAAAATGGCCCCCACAGCCAACCGGAAGTCGGCACAGGTTTTTTTTCTTAGTGGCACAGTTTCTATCTCTTTGCCAGATCTGAAAGGCCTTCCTTTTCTTGTCAATAATGCCTTCAAATCTCACTGTAGTCTCATCAAACCAGTCCTGGTGTTTCTTGGTTTGGTATCCAATAGTTTGTTCACAGGCTGCTATAATGGATGTTTTTAGCTTGATCCAGTGTTCCTTGATGTTATCAGGGCATTCCGAATGCAGATGGTCCTTAAGAGTCGTTTGGAAGCAATCCCGCTTAATGGGATCTTGAAGGGCTTGAGTGTTCATTTTGCGCCTTGGTTTCCTTCCTTGAAGCCCGCGTTGAGGTATAATCTTGATAGCCATCATGGAGTGTATTAGTCGGTGATCTGTCCAGCAGTCGTCGGCACTTGTCATAGTTCTGGTAAGGAGCACATCACGGCGATCTTAAGAGGTGCCAATGGTTCGACCGAGGGTACCTCCATGAAGTTTTAAATTTATTTTTCTGTCAAAAGAGTGTGTTGGTAATAACAAGGTTGTGTGGCTGTGGGGAAGCCTTGTGAATGTTCTGCCACCGCAGGGAGATGGCAAGGCCCTCTGCTGCTGCGGGGAGCCAAAGTGCACTCTCCACCGCCACGGGGTGGTATGGTGGGACCTCTGCCGCCGTGGAGAGGCCCAGGAAGGCCCCCCACCGCTGTAGATATATATTGTGATATTTAGCTGGTGGTATATTGTGATTTTGAAAATCAGATATTGCCCAGCCCTATTTGCCAACTTGTTTATGGATGCAGCCCCTCAAGTGGCTGCAGTGGATACCACTCCAGGCAGCCCCCTCATCTCCAGGAGGGGCTTTCTGGGAAACACAGGATGCAAAAGAATCTCAGTGCACCCAGCTCTTCACAACCCAGCCAGTGGGATTCTCCACTTGAAAAAAAAAAGTGTAAAACTCTAGACAATCTTTAAAAAAACACATTTAGTTCTAGGTGGGCTTCCTAATACTAGTTGCTGTTGCACACAGATTCTGCTTGTGGGCTTCCCAGAGGCATCTACTTTGTCACTGTGAGAACAGGAGGCTGCACTAGATGGGCCAGGGCTCCTATGTTCTCTCCCTTGGCTTAACATGAGCCAGTTCAATGGGTTCAGCAGCCATGGTCCCACAAAGCAGCCACTGCCACACTGAGTTAGGGGCACTTCAGCCAATGGAAACCAATAGGCCAATAAGACACACCTAACTCTGCAGCCATTAAGTTTGGCCCAACAGGCCCCTGCAGACCTCTCCCTCCCCTCTCCTCGTTTCCCAGACACAGATAGGCTTCAACTGACCCTCACTTTCCTCTAATAAAGGGACCATTTAATCTGGCCTTATCAGTGTCACAAAAACCTACTTGTTTTCTGACAGACATTCAAAATTATTATTATTATTTTATTTATACCCCGCCCATCTGGCTGGGTTTCCCCAGCCACTCTGAGCAGATTACAGCATATATAAAACATAGTAAAATATCAAACATTAAAAACTTCCCAATACAGGGCTACCTTCAGTTGTCTTCTAAAAGCTATGTAGTTCTTTACCTCCTTGACATCTGAAGGGATGGTGTTCCAAAGGGAGGGTGCCACTACCGAGAAGGCCTTTTGCCTGGTTCCCTGTAACTTTGCTTCTCACAGTGATGGAACCAGCAGAAGACTCTCAGAGGAGGACCTCAGTGTCCGGGCTGAATGATGGGGGTGGAGACGCTCCTTCAGGTATACTGGGCTGAGGCCATTTAGGGCTTTAAAGGTCAGCACCAACACTTTGAATTGTGCTTGGAAACATACTGGGAGCCAAAGTAGGTCTTTTCAGGACCAGTGTTATATGGTCTCGGCAGGCACTCCCAGTCACCAGTCTAGCTGCCGCATTCTAGATTAACTGCAGTTTCCAGGTCACCTTCAAAGGTAGCCCCACATAGAGAGCATTGCAATAGTCCAAACGAGAGATAACCAGAGCATGCACCACTCTGGCGAGACAGTCTGCGGGCAGATAGGGTCTCAGCCAGCATACCAGAAGGAGCTGGTAGACAGCTGCCCTGGACACAGAATTGACCTGTGCCTCCATGGACAGCTGTGAGCCCAAAATGACTCCCAGGCTGCACACCTGGTCCTTCAGGGGCACAGTTACCCCATTCAGGACCAGGTATTCCCCTCCACCTGCCCACCCCCTGCCCCCCAAAAACAGTGGGGCACAAAGTTTTTATCAGTGCTATTCAACCACCATGGTTTTGATTTTTGAATCATAGAATTGTAGAGTTAAACTGAGGAAAAGTACAAGGGAGTGCCCCGACACAGTCACTAGATAAGAGATTAGTTTCATAACCACATTTGGCATTCCAATACTACACTATTTCTTTGCAGTCAGTGGTCTGGTAAGATGGCAGACATCATGCTGCCCACCTGACAAATAAGGAACAAAAGGGGTGGGGAAACAGAAGAAAACTGAGGGGACTTACTTCTCTCATCCAGTGGCCGTTTTACTCCATAACCGTACACTGAAGGGTCCACAAGTGGTGCGGAATTATTTAAGTGAGGAATCTCTCCAATTTTAGCAGCCATTTGCTGTAGAGAGAAAAAAATAAAATTAAAAATAAAATAATTTTGGAACAGTATTAGCAAAACTAGTACTGCTTATGTAACTGGATAGCAAGAAACAGCTTTTCTAGCACTAATTCCCCCCCCCCCAAAAAAAAGTTGTCAACATTTTATCAAACTAGAGCATGACCAAGAGACACGCTATGCAGCACAACCAAGAGACAGAATCCAGGAGGCACAGTACAGATTTAGCACCCACCTCTGTGGGCTTGCTTCCCATCACATCATTATGCAGATGCCACTCATTCCTGTGAGGAAAACCCACGGGAGTGGACAGTCCAGCTCTTGCCAACTAGGCCAACACAACAAGTTGACTTCCGGTGTGACCACCATGGCATTTAGCAGCTTTCCCATGGCACCGAACCCCAGTTGTGCAATTAATCAGGTAGTTTGGGGGTAATTATCCCTGCCAACACCCCCAGGGCTGGGGGGGACGGGACTTGCTGTCACCCAGGGGTTGTCCAATAACTGCCGCTCGCTACAATGGAATGAGGGGCAGGGACACTGGGTGCTTAGCATTGCACGAATTGGAAACTCTCCAATGCCATCGCCATGAGCGGGAGTATTCCTGTTTTTCATCAAATATTTGAATTCTGACTTGAAAACAGGCATGTTCTGGAAAGGAGACAAAAAACGGCCTGTTAAACAAATCAGTCACTGAGTGCCAAGGTTTTGATCTGGAAAGGACTTTCGTCGTCTTGCTATGGTATATGTGAGGTGAGCGTCCGTTTCTCTTTTATACTTGCTATTTCATGATCTGGCAAACCTCACTAAGAAAGATTTAATTAATTAAACAGAATGCAAGAGGAATTTTACAAAAACTTTGAGAATTTGGTGCTTTATGGCACAGTCCTTTGTGGAGGGCTCTATTTAGAACTGACAAGGTATCAGCTTGTTAGAAGATATGAAGGGACTTTGTCCAAAGACATGATTAGATATGCTTTTGGCTTGGGATGGTAAAATGGCGTAAATGATGGCACATTAGAAAAAAGGAGCCCCTCTATGGGGGCTGAAGACAACCAATGGATTACAACCAGGGAATATTTCACACAGGAAACTACATCTGCTTGCATGGACTCTCGTCGTATATGGATTAATATAAAAGTGAAGGTGAATCTTTGATCTCTGTAAGCTTTCCCCAAGGCCCAAGTGGAGCAAAGCTTGGATTGTAGAGGAACCAAACAATTACTAACTGTGAAATATACCTTATGGTACTGCCTCATACGGAAGACCCCTATTCAGATTGGGAAAACTTCAGTTCGTTACAAGACTTGAAGGATTGCTGTGTTTTATGCTGTGGAATGAAAAAGGGGCCTCTGAGGGGGACTGTGCCAAAAATAATTGACGGACAACAACAGGTAGAACAAAATTCCTCTTTCACATAGATTTGCTAAATACGATTGAAAGTCTCACACCAGTGGCTGTTAAGATAAAGGATTATGATCAGAGCTATGATATTGGGAATAAACAAGAGAGAAAAAGCAGGAACAAGAAATAAAACATTTTCTCCTCACCAGCCAGAACATGGGAAGTCTTTTTAAAATATAAAATTTGGAATGTATAATTGGCTTTATTTGGATTATGATGTGGCAAGATTTGATATTCTGAGTGTTATTAATGAAAAATTAATAAAAATTATTTACAAAAGGACAACACAACAAGTTGCACCCTTCGGGGTCCTTGCACCATACACACCCTCCCACTGCTCACACCCATTTTGTTGGCCAATTTATTTAGAGGGGGCCCATTACTGGATTCTGTTAACAGTTGAGCATTAGACTGAGAGAACTTCCCAGGCCCATGTCCCAGAGATGCCTCAGGAGCACACAGGACCACGGTCCAGCACACAGCTCAGTCTTGGACAGCTGAAGGTCTCCTCCACATGGCAGGTGTACGAGTCACAGCAGCTGTGGGGGCTGCAGGGTTCCACCCAGAGGATGTGTCGCAGCAGGGAAGGTCCAAAGGAGGGGCTATGGGAGTAGTATGGCCCTGAGCCCTGTATCAGATATGTTTCTATCAAGGCTGATTCCGGACTGGTGCACAGAAGGGCAAGTGACCACATTCCTGTTTGTTTAATAACCCTGTCACAGTTTTTTGTCCATGTAGGGAAACACCCCACCACACACACCATATGAACTTTATGTAAAATCCTAGCTTTCCGCCATTCTGGAAGTCTCTGCTGACCAAAACAGGCATGACACTAAGGCTGGGTGATATCTGCTTTCCAATATCATAATACACCACCAGCTAAATATTGCAATATGGTGGTATATTACGATGTCGGAAAGGAGGCGGGAAGGAAGAAGGCAGTTGCCAGCCACGGAGACAATTAGTGTTCCATGAGCAGCTTCTGCCTCTTCCACAGCCACCGCCTCCTCCAGTGCCTGCCCATATCAAGGCAATGGAGGCAGGCCCACAAACACTCCATTTGCGCAAACGCCTCAGCAGCCCCCACCCAGGAAAAAGAGGTAGCCCACCCCGAAGGGGAGAGATTGATCAGCTGAGAAGCTGGGATTTAACAAAGCCCGTTTCTCAGCTGATCAAATCCCCAGCCTCCAACTCGCACAAGTCAGAGTAGGGGCTTCGTTAAATTGCTGGGGTGCAGCAGCTACACGCCCTCAGCAGAGCAGTTTAAAGAAACTGCCTGCCTGTGCGGTTCCTCTGTGGTATGAGGGCCAGAGCATGCTGGCAGCTTCACCCGGTGAAGCAGCCACCGCTCCTCAGTCCCTCTGCCACTTGGTTGATTAACGCCAGGTGAAGCTGCCAGCGCGCTCTGGCCTTCATACCAGTCGGGCGATGTATCAGTACATCACCCAGGCCTACATGACACATCACATAACTGCTCCATCCCAATATCAAGCTAATAGATGACAAACCCTGACCATCTCCTAATACCAGAACACATGGGGGTGGGGGATTAAGATGTTTCTCAAAAAAAAAGTAACAGGAGCTAAACACATTTTTACAAATGCAGTGTTAAAATCAGTTAGAAACTCAGATATGTAAGCTATTCACCAAATGACCCCTTAAACCTAGGTTACAGGCACAATGGACTGTCTAGTCATCATTTTGCAGGGCAGCTTGCAGGGCAGCAGTTGAAGGAGGAGCAAAAAGGGTTTTCGTGTGTGTGTGTGTGTGTGTGTGTGTGTGTGTGTTTCTTTGTGGCTGATTAGCTGCTCTCCCTGTGCAAAGGTCAGAGGGGGCAGGGTTTCTGTTGAGGCAGGTGATTAGCTGTGGGAGGAGCTTATCAGAGCTTGTAGGGCAGTTTGATCCATCTTTTAGATTTAGGGGAGCTAGTCTCAAACGTTTGTTGGGGGAGACCTAGGTTTTTTTGTGGGGGGAGTTATTTGTCCTGTCTTCACGCTTTTTATGATGGAGGACCGCTGTAGCCACCCCCAACGACACGTTCTCAAGATGGAGGGGGAGGGAACAGCTGCAGTCGCCTGCGGTTCCTGCGCAATGTTTGCCATCTTGCCAAAGGTTGCAGGCAGCTTTACCTGCAGCAATTGTATGTTGATTGCCCTCTTAAAAGACAAAGTCCAGCAACTGGAGGAACGTGTAGCTACGCTCCAAAGAATTAGAGAGCTGGAGCTCTTCTTGGAAGCAACAGAGCACACCGTCTCCACCAAGGAGGAGACAGGGGACTCCCCTGAGAAGGAGGCTAGTTCACCAACACAGGAGCCAGATATATGGAGAAACGTGACTCAAAGAAGTAGGAGGCCCAAGGTTCGCTCTGATTGTTTAGAAATACACAATCGCTTTGAGGTCCTCTCCCCTAGCATGGAAGACGAAGAGCAGACTCCATTTGAGGATCTCTCCCTCATTACAGTCGATCAGGTATATGAAGACGAGCAGCAAAGTCAGTCCTCAGGGAATGTGCAGGCGACCTTGGAACAGACAGCTCATGGAAGAACCCCGACCAAACCTAAGAGGAGGCGTGTAGTGGTGATAGGGGATTCCCTACTGAGGGGAACAGAAGCAGTGATCTGTGGGCCTGACAAGATGTCTCGGGAAATGTGCTGTCTCCCCGGGGCTAAGATGTAAGATGTAACTGAACGACTGCAAGGAATCATAAAGCCCACTGACAAATACCCCTTCCTCTTGGTTCATGTGGGAACCAATGACACTGCAAGCAATAGCCTCCAGAAGATCAAAAGAGACTACGAGGCTCTGGGCAGGAAATTGAAGCAATTAAATGCACAAATTGTCATCTCATCTGTCCTCCCAGTTGAACGACGTGGCCCAGGGAGAGAGGGAAAAATAGTGGAAGTGAACAGCTGGCTTCGCAAATGGTGTAAACAGGAACGGTTTGGATTCTTAGATCACGGACTGCAGTTTCTTGAAGATGGACTTCTGGCAAGCGATGGGCTGCACCTCACAACGGTTGGGAGAAATGTTTTTGCCAAAAATCTCAGAAACCTCATCAGGAGGGCTTTAAACTGACTAATGTGGGGGAGGGAGACAGTGCTCCTGAAGGTAGGAGTCTATCAATTGATGAAGATGATCATCCAAATGTCATAGACCAAATGGAGCAAACAGCACGCAGACCTAGTGGTGGGAGGAAAAAATCCTTAAATAAGAGATACGGGGGAATGATTAATGGACTTCAATGTCTGTACACTAATGCGCAAAGCATGGGAAATAAACAAGATGAGCTTGAGCTCTTGGTACAGCAAACTAAATATGACATAATAGGCATCACTGAAACCTGGTGGGATAAGTCCCACGATTGGAATGTAATAATGGAGGGATACAATCTATTTCAGAGAAACAGACCAGACAAGAAAGGAGGAGGAGTGGCGTTATATGTCAGGGATGTGTATACCTGTGAAGAGATCCAAGATTTAGAACCTCAAAGCCAAAGTGAGAGCATTTGGGTCAAAATTAAGGGAGAGAAGAATAACAGTGACCTCATTGTGGGAGTTTACTATAGATCCCCAAGCCAAAGGGAGGACATAGATGATGCCTTCCTGGAACAGATGGCCAAGCATGCAAAAGGAAGGGAGATCGTAGTAATGGGGGACTTCAATTACCCGGATATTTGTTGGATGTCAAACTCAGCCAAGAGCATAAGGTCAAACAGATTCCTCACTGGCCTTGCAGACAACTTCATTGTCCAGAAAGTGGGAGAAGCAACAAGAGGAACAGCCATTTTAGATCTGGTCCTAACCAATGTTGATGACCTGGTTAGTGGGGTAGAAGTGGAAGGATCATATAATGGTATGGGGTTGCTCGTGCGTAAGTTGCCGCCTCTCCTGGCTATGTTGCCTTGTTAAACCTTTCTGTCTGGACAGCCCTTCAATTCGTGGCTGCCTCAGTCGCTAGCAGAATCCGGTCAGTGGGCGTTTCTTAAACCTTTTCCAACATAAAAGTTGTTTGACACCCAGTCTCCTCCTACTTTCTCTGCGCGGAAGTCTTCTGTGCAGGGAGGGCGTGGGTAGCGGAGGACCAGTGCTCTCCCCGCTGGTGTCCGGTGAAGAGTCTGGGAGCCCTCTCGCCGATTCCCCCATCTGCCCCTCCTTATTCCTGGTGTTGCGCTGAATTGCTTCCCCATCTGCTGAGATGCCTCTCTCCCTGCTGGGCCCTTCTCCAGCATCATTAGAGAGCCTTCCCTCCACCTCTAGCTCTGATGTCAGTTCCCTGACATCCACCTCCCCCCCAGGACCCCCTCAACCCCCGGCCCAACCTGTTGATCCAACTTCGTCCCTTTCTTCGGCCGACGATGCGGGGAACCCCCGGAAGGAGCTGTCGTCATCCTCAGAGGATTCGAAGCCCGCTTCCCACCCGTTCTGATCCCTTCCCGCGGGGTGGGCCTCCCAGTCTGATTCTTCTTATTCCGAAACCTCTCCTCCCTCCTCCTCAGAGGTAGAAAAACCCACAAAATCCTCTTCATCGTCTGTGGTTCCAAATTGCTCCTCCCAGAATCTCGCCAGTGGTTTGGGTTTGCCCGGGAACAGGCGGTGGAATTCCTCCATCAGATACCCGTCATCAATTGCCTCCGCGGGAACCCACGTGTTTTCCGACCCAGGTTCTCCCTCCCAAACTACCAAGTACTCCACCTGGCGTCCTCGCCACCTTGAATCAAGTATTTCCGTGGCCAAGTGGTGGTGCTCCCTCTCTTCTACCTGCGGGTGTGTGGTGACTTCTCCCTCTCGCCCCGGGAATTCCCGCCCCTCCCTGTACGGTGAGAGTAGGGACCTATGGAACACTGGGTGTATTTTCATGCTGTCAGGCAACTTGAGCTTGAATGCCACGGGGTTCACCTGCTGTGTTACTTCAAACGGTCCCAGCCGCCTGGGCTGCAACTTCTTGCACCCCCCCTTAAAGGGTAACCCTTGGGTTGACAACCACACTCTGTCCCCCACCCGTATGGTTTCCCCTTCCCTACGGTGCTTATCTGCCTGCCTCTTCTAAATTTCCTTGGCCCGCTCCAAGTTCATCTTAAGTTGCTGGTGCAGGGCCTCCATTTCTTCCACAAACTGCTCTGCCGCAGGCACGCTCCACCCTTCCTCCCCACTCCCCGGGAAGGCCCTGGGGTGACACCCATAATTGGCCAGGAACGGGCTCATTCCCGTGGACACATGTTCAGCGTTATTGTACACAAATTCAGCCAGCGCTAGTTTCTCCACCCAATCGTTCTGCCTCTCGCTGACGTAACAGCGTAGGTATTGCTGGAGTATACTGTTCGCTCTTTCTGCTTGCCCATTGGGTTTCGGGTGTCTCGCCGTCGAGAAGCCCACTTCGACCTGTAGCAAGCTCATGAGCTTCCTCCAGAACCGGGAAGTAAATTGTTTCCCGCGATCGGAGATAACCCTCGAGGGAGCCCCATACAACCTGAAGATGTGATCTACAAACAACCTGGCTGTTTCCTCTGCCGTAACCGCATGTGAGCAGGCTATAAAATGGCACATTTTTGTCAGTATATCGACCACTACCATGACTGCTGTCTTTCCCCGGGACTTGGGCAAATCGGTCATAAAATCAATGGACACCACCTCCCAGGGTTTTCCCGGCGTGGGTAAGGGTTCCAGCAATCCTGTGGGGGCAGCCCGCTCCCCCTTTGCCTTTTGGCAGCGGTCGCAACCCCGTACATATTCCCGCACATCCTTCGTCACCCTGGGCCACCAGAACTGCCTGGAGACAAGCATCATGGTTTTGTGCTGTCCAAAGTGTCCAGCTGTGGGATTGTCGTGGAGTTGTTTGAGTACCTTCCCCCGTAGGGTCTCCCCCGGTACATACAGCGTACAGCACCCCTTCCTTCTCCTCAAACCCTCCCTGGGTTTCTCTTCCATCTCGGATTTCCCGGATTTTAGTTTGTGTGAACACGTCGTTTCTAGTGAGTCCGGCCAGTTCTCGTTTCCCCACCAAGATTCCCCCCACACCCACCGGTCCTCGGGGATCACGTGTCGTATCTCCGGCGGCCCCTCTCCTTCCCAGTACTCTGGCTTCCTGGAGAGCGCATCTGCTCTCACGTTTTCCTCCCCAGGTACGTATCGGATTTCGAAGGAAAACTTGGAGAACTCCTGTGCCCATCGAATCTGCCTCTGGTTGAGTACTCGTGCGGTCCTCCAGTATTCCAAGTTCTTGTGATCTGTACAAACCTGGATCTTGTGCTGCGCCCCTATTAGTAGATGGCGCCATCGACGAAACGCTGCATAGATCGCAAGCAGTGCACGGTCATACACAGTATAGTTTTGCTCCGATTTGCTCAGCTTTCGCGAGAAAAAGGCACACGGCTTCCATTCCTGCTTGCTCCTCCCTGGCTGCAAAAGAACCGCCCCAATGGCTCTGTCGGACGCGTCGGTCTCTAGCCTCATGGGTTTCTCCAGATCCACGTGCAGGAGCTGCTCTTCCGATGCGAACGCCTTCTTCAGTCTTTCAAAGGACTGCTGGGCTCCCTCTGTCCAGATGAACTTCCTTTTGCTACTGAGACAATCTGTGATGGGCGCTGTCAAGTGGGCGAAGTTCTTGATGAACTTCCTGTAGAAGTTGCTGAACCCTAGGAACCTCTGCACGTCCTTCCGGGTTTTGGGCGCCTTCCACTCCAGCACTGCCTGCACCTTGCTTGGGTCCATCGCTAGGCCCTTGTCTGACAACCTGTACCCCAGAAACTCGACTTCTCTGGCGTGAAACTGACATTTTTCCAGTTTGACCCACAACTGGTGCTTCTGCAGTCGTTTTAGCACTTCCCTGACGTCCCTGACATGTTGCTCCTCATTGTCCGAATAGATTAAGACGTCGTCCAAGAAGGCTACGCAGTTCTTGTACAGCAGGGACCCCAGCACGTGGTGCATGAATGCTTGAAAACAGGCGGAGCCCGACTGTAATCCAAAAGGCATAACTAGGTACTCAAAGGCCCCTAGGGGTGTGAACATTGTGGTCTTCCATTCGTCCCCTTCCCTCATCCTAATCAAATTGTATGCTCCCCTGAGGTCCAGCTTGGTAAAAATTTTCCCTTGCCTCACCCGTGTTAAAATGTCGTCAATCCTGGGCATCGGGAAGGTCACGGGTTCCGACACCAAATTGACGGCCCTATAGTCCACAACGAGCCTGGGTTTATTTGTGTCCTTTTGTCCACAAAGAACACCGGACTGCCCCCCACCGCTTTTGATTCTCTTATGAAGCCTCTTTTCAGGTTCTTGTCAATAAATTCCCGCAACTCCTTCATCTCCCTGTCCGACATGGCATACAGTTTACCCACCGGCAGCTGCGCCCCCGGGAGCAAGTTGATTTGGCAGTCAAAGGACCTATCCGCCTCCTTCTCGCTGAACACCTCCTGCAGGTCAGCATATTGTGGTGGCACCTCCCCTTTCCGCTCCACAGCTATCCCAGCCACCCTGGCCACGGTCATTCTTGGGGTTTCCCCCTTAGACAGTGTTCCAAACAGTAAGCGGACCCAAAGGTGACCGTCCTCTGATGCCACGCCACCACTGGATCATGTTGTGCTAGCCAGCTCATCCCTAATATTATTGGGGGCCCTGCCAGTGAGGCTACGTGAAAGGCGATGGTCTCCGAGTGCCTGGAAACCCTCATTCTCATTGGTGGGGTCTGGTGTGTCACTTCCCCTCCCAGCAGCTCTCTGCCATCAATGGTGGTTACTTGCAAGGGGAAATCTAAGGGCAGCAGGTGGAGCTGGTGCTCTAGTGCAAAGTCCTTGCTGAAGAAATTGCAGGAACTGCCTGAATCCAACAGCCCTTTCACCTTGACTGGGTGCCCATTCGGGAGTTCTAGCACCACTTCTATGGCTATAGCCACCCTGGGGGGGTCTGGTTGGGGCACTCCTATTGGTTGCTGGCCTGGCTGCTGTGCCCGCTGAGTGGCAGCCAAGCGTTGTCATTTCCTGGCTCCTTTGCTTTTTCCACCTCCTCCTCACCCCCTGCAGCTCCCACCATTCCTTGCCAGGCCTTTCTTTGAGGGCAGACCCTGGCAAAATGTCCTGGCCGCTGGCAGAGGAAACACTTCTTATTAGTTTTCCAATCCTTTCCCTCCTTCTTGCGACCGTCGCTGGAATTTGAAACCTCGCGCGCACGCGCCCCATCTATTTCCATTGGCTCCGCCGGCGGGGAAGGCTGCCTTGGTATTTCAGGAATGCGGTAGTCATGGTAACGTTGCTCTCTCCCTTCCCGCTTCTCCTGAGCCCGCGCTTCCTGCCTTACACCAATCGCAAGCACAGCCTTGGTCAGCTGATCCATCGACTGCGGGCGGGGTGCGCGGGAAAGCTCGTCCTTCACCGTTGGGGACAACCCCTCCTCGAACAACATTTGAATGGGTTCAGAGTCCAGTTCCCACCCGAGCCGGTGAACTAACATGGCAAAGCGTGACCAGTAGTCTCTAACTGACTGGTGCCCCTGTTTACAGTTCATCAGTTCCCGCCGAGTCACACTTTGCTGCACATCACTGGAGTACCTTGCGTCCATCGCCTGAAAAAATTTCCTCAGGTCCTTCAAGGCGGCATTCTGCGTTGCCATTAGGGGCCTGATCCATTCCCTGGCCCCATCCTGCAGATGCCCAACAATATAAGCCACCCGCTCCCCGTCGTCTGCAAAATCATTCTGCTGCAGTTCCAAAGCGTACTCTATTTCCGTCCGGAACGCACTATAGTCCTGAGGCTTCCCTCCAAATTTGTGTACCAGTCCCGGTACCTTCCTTGCTACGGGGGTGGGTCTGACCTGTGCATCTTGAGCCCGCCTTTCGTCTAGCAGCGCCGTTAGAAGAGCCACATGCTGCTCCAAATCTCGGTTCCTCTCCACCAGATTTTGCACTCCTGCTGCTCCCTCCATGACGCCAGCTTCTCCGGTTTTGCTCATGATGCTGCCTGCCGCTGTGCACAAGCAACGTCAGGGACTGACGGATTGCTATAATGGTATGGGGTTGCTCGTGCGTAAGTTGCCGCCTCTCCTGGCTATGTTGCCTTGTTAAACCTTTCTGTCTGGACAGCCCTTCAATTCGTGGCTGCCTCAGTCGCTAGCAGAATCCGTCAGTGGGCGTTTCTTAAACCTTTTCCAACATAAAAGTTGTTTGACACCCAGTCTCCTCCTACTTTCTCTGCGCGGAAGTCTTCTGCGCAGGGAGGGCGTGGGTAGCGGAGGACCAGTGCTCTCGCCACTGGTGTCCGGTGAAGAGTCTGGGAGCCCTCTCGCCGATTCCCCCATCTGCCCCTCCTTATTCCTGGTGTTGCGCTGAATTGCTTCCCCATCTGCTGAGCTGCCTCTCTCCCTGCTGGGCCCTTCTCCAGCATCATTAGAGAGCCTTCCCTCCACCTCTAGCTCCGATGTCAGTTCCCTGACAGATCATTAGGCGCGAGTGATCATGTTCTTCTGAAGTTTACTATACAGCAGAAAGGAGCAGCCAAGCATACTAGGACTCAATTTCTTGACTTTAAGAAAGCCGACTTCATAAAACTTAGGGAAGTGCTGGGTGAGATCCCATGGACAGTAATACTAAAAGGAAAGGGAGTTCATGATGGCTGGGAGTTTGTTAAGAGGGAGATAGTAAAAGCACAACGTCAGGCAATACCAATGAGACGGAAACATGGAAGGTGCCTAAAGAAGCCAGGGTGGCTATCTAAAGAACTTTTAACTGACTTAAGATTAAAAAAGGATGTGTACAAAAAATGGAAAAGGGGGGAAACCACCAAAGAGGAATTCAAACAAATAGCCAACACGTGTAGACACAAAGTCAGAAAAGCTAAAGCACAGAATGAACCCAGGCTTGCTAGAGAGGTTAAAAGCAACAAAAATGGTTTTTATGGGTATGTTCGTAGCAAAAGGAAGAACAAAGAAACAGTGGGGTCACTCAGAGGAGAAGATGGTGAAATGCAAGCAGGGGATACAGAAAGGGCTGAACTCCTCAATGCCTTCTTTGCCTCAGTCTTCTCCGATAAAGAAACAATGCCCGACCTGAAGAATTTGGAGCAAATGATTCAGCAAAGGAAACACAGCCCAGAATAACTAAGGAGATAGTACAAGAATACTTGGCTAGTTTAGATGTATTCAAGTCTCCAGGGCCAGATGAACTGCATCCAAGAGTATTAAAAGAACTGGCAGATGTGATCTCAGAACCACTGGCAGTCATCTTTGAGAATTCCTGGAGAACATGCGAAGTCCCGGCAGACTGGAGGAGGGCAAATGTTGTCCCTATTTTCAAAAAGGGGAAAAGAGAGGACCCAAATAATTACTGCCCAGTCAGTCTGACATCAATACCAGGGAAGATTCTGGAGCAGATCATTAAGCAAACAGTCTGTGAGCACCTAGAAAGGAATGCTGTGATCACCAATAGTCAGCATGGATTTCTGAAAAATAAGTCATGTCAGACTAACCTGATCTCGTTTTTTGACAGAATTACAAGCCTGGTAGATGAAGGGAACGCAGTGGATGTAGCCTACCTTGATTTCAGCAAGGCATTTGACAAGGTGCCTCATGATATTCTTGTAAAGAAGCTGGTAAAATGCGGTCTTGACTATGCTACCACTCAGTGGATTTGTAACTGGCTGACTGACCGAACCCAAAGGGTGCTCATCAATGGTTCCTCTTCATCCTGGAGAAGAGTGACTAGTGGGGTGCCACAGGGTTCTGTCTTGGGCCCGGTCTTATTCAACATCTTTATCAACGACTTGGATGATGGACTCAAGGGCATCCTGATCAAATTTGCAGATGACACCAAATTGGGAGGGGTGGCTAACACCCCAGAGGACAGGATCACACTTCAAAACGACCTTGACAGATTAGAGAACTGGGCCAAAACAAACAAGATGAATTTTAACAGGGAGAAATGTAAAGTATTGCACTTGGGCAAAAAAATGAGAGGCACAAATACAAGATGGGGGACACCTGGCTTGAGAGCAGTACATGTGAAAAGGATCTAGGAGTCTTGGTTGACCACAAACTTGACATGAGCCAACAGTGTGACGCGGCAGCTAAAAAGCCAATGCAATTCTGGGCCGCATCAATAGGAGTATAGCATCTAGATCAAGGGAAGTAATAGTGCCACTGTATTCTGCTCTGGTCAGACCTCACCTGGAGTACTGTTTCCAGTTCTGGGCACCACAGTTCAAGAAGGACACTGACAAACTGGAACGTGTCCAGAGGAGGGCAACCAAAATGGTCAAAGGCCTGGAAACGATGCCTTATGAGGAACGGCTAAGGGAGCTGGGCATGTTTAGCCTGGAGAAGAGGAGGTTAAGGGGTGATATGATAGCCATGTTCAAATATATAAAAGGATGTCACATAGAGGAGGGAGAAAGGTTGTTTTCTGCTGCTCCAGAGAAGCGGACACGGAGCAATGGATCCAAACTACAAGAAAGAAGATTCCACCTAAACATTAGGAAGAACTTCCTGACAGTAAGAGCTGTTCGACAGTGGAATTTGCTGCCAAGGAGTGTGGTGGAGTCTCCTTCTTTGGAGGTCTTTAAGCAGAGGCTTGACAACCATATGTCAGGAGTGCTCTGATGGTGTTTCCTCCTTGGCAGGGGGTTGGACTCGATGGCCCTTGTGGTCTCTTCCAACTCTATGATTCTATGATTCTATGATTTTGTATATTTTCAACATTAATATATTTAATATACTGTATTTACGTGATTCTATTGCACCTTTGAATCTAATGCACACCTCAGTTTTCAGAACCTTGAAACCAAAAAAGTATTTGCTGGCAAATATAAATGAGTCATCAAATCTACTGTGCACCCTAATTTTTGCAACGTAAATTGGCCAAAAAAGGTGTGCATTATTTTAAAGCTTGTTTCAGTTCATTGTATATTATTTCCCAGAATTCCTTTATTACTTTACAATTCCACCACATATGGTAAAAGGTGCCTTCCTTTTCTTTACATTTCCAACAAGTATTATGTCGTTTGGATTGTCTACTACTTTTCCTTCTACTTTCAGTTTATTTATTAAATTTGTGCTCTGTTTTCTTTAGCTGCCATGCCAAAAATTTCCCCAGCATATTAGCAAATTCAAAAATTTTCTATCTTAACAACTTTATTTCCCATTCAATTTCTTGATTCACCAACATTGAGAATGGTGTTTGTAACATTTTAATATTTTGTTTTTATGGATTCTGGGTTTTTTAAACAGTACTTTTTCATTTTTAATCAATTCATCCAGCAGCTCCTGCCCCCCCTTCTCTAATCTTTTTCTGAAGGGCATTCTGTTGTATATAAAAAAAACCCCTCACATTACTGCCTTACTTGTATCTCATACCACATTCAAATCCGTTCGCTGATTTAGATTTAATTCAGAGAAATCGCTTAAAGTTTTTTGAGCTTTCTGCGAGGTGCTTGTATTATCCCAAATTCCTTCATTTAACTTCCACCTTTGTGGAGTCTTCCCTTTTCCCCTCAATTCCAGAAAGACTGGATTGTGGTCCGAAAGTGTCCTAAGCTGTATGTCTGCTTTCTTCGTCCTCAATGACAAATAACTGGATATCCATGTCGAGTCAATTCATCCAGCAGACTGATTTGGTTCTGAGAAAAAAAGTGAATTCTTTGTCCAGTGGGTGTTTAAATCTCCAAATGTCAATCAAGTTAAAGATTTCCACCATTTAAAAAAGTTACAGGTAGTCTCCCTTACTTAGTTTCAGTTTTCCTTATTGTCCTGTCCATTTCTAGGGAGACTATCCCATTAATATCTCCAAGTAATATTATCTTCTTGTCCATGAATTCAAACATTTTTGCTTCTTTTTTAAGAATAATTTTATTAACCGACCAATCACATCAAATCAAACCAAATTACATAAATTCCAAATTACACAGCCGAATTTTAAATTTTTGTTGGGGGTACCCATATTTCAAGTTCCAAAGGGATCCAATCAACTTCTTGCTTCTTACTGCTGTTTTAATGTCCACAAATCTAACCGTATGATGTTCACAGTACTATCCAGTCCTTTCTTATTATTTTTCCACATCTCTTGTTGTTATTTTCATATATTTTTCCTTTCTCTTTGTGACCTCTGATAGTCTCCGCAAGCTGGTTAGAACAGTTTGTAATCCTGCGTGGATATTTTTTTATCCAGTAGCCATAGCCAGACGTTTTCCATATAACATCACTTCCATACATCAAAACAGTCTTAGCGTCATTAATCTTCACCAATCTGCCTCCTTTCTCAAAACCTCTGAGGAGATTCACTAGGAATGCAGTCTGAAACCAAGTCCGTTCTTCCTCCCGGCTATAAATCCTTTGGCAAGATGGCAACTCCGAATTAATTGCTGCGCCATTCCCAAAAGCTCTTATTGCTTCTCGGTCTCCATAAAGCATACTTTTGGTTAAAGTTTATCTCCACACAGACCTTAATCATCCTGCTTGGGTCAGTTCAACCGACAGTTCTAATGAGGAGGGGTTCTTGTAAATCACATAGAAGGAAAGTAAAAAAGGTCCCCCCCCCATTCAGCCCCGTTGTCAACATACCCCGCCTTTGGTGTATCTTCCTCGTAAAATATTCCTGTTTCTCCAGCCCGTCGTCTTCTTTTGCAGAGGTCACTTAAATTAGCAGACTTCACTCCGCTTCTTCACTTGAAATATGTGCATTTGCTTCTTTTATAATTAATTATTCCAAATTGTTGCAACTAGTGTGCGATCAGAGACAGCGTCCAGGAGAACCGATGTCCACATGGGGGCATTCTGCCTAGGGCCCTCACCCCCTTCTTTCGAATTAGGGGGTGATTTATGGGCACAGCAGGCAAGGGCAGTGTTCCCCATTTCCTTGGGGCAACAAGGGAGGCTGCCTACTCCCATAACAGCCTCTTAATTACCCCGTGTGGGTCGGAGAGATGGTATTGTTGGCCATCTTCCAATGCGCCCCCTAGTGGCCCCCCCAAACATTTTTGCTTCTAATGTTTTATAAAATTCCAACTTTCTCTCATTTGGTACATAAATTCCAACTACTACTAATTTCTCACCTTGTGACATTATCTGGATTGCTATCATTCTCATTGTGGAATAATAATTTCAGATCATACTTGGCTTTTGCATAAATTACTACGCTTTTTTGTTTTATATGATGCAATAAAGTCCATTCCCAATCTTTTGTTTATCAAGACTTTTCTATGTTAAAACATGTTCTATCTCCTTTCTTTTTACTTTGTTGTTTAGTCCATTTACATTCCATGCTCTAATTTTCAAATCTATCCTGAAATTCTTTTCAAATGTCATTAATATTCTGCTAAGTCTATTTACGAGTCTTGTTCTTTTACCTTTTCTTGCTTTTCTTCTTTATTCTCTACCACCACCTCGCTCTCTTCTCCTGCTATCATAGGCATTTTCCCTCCTAGTTGCTTTTTGTACTTTCTCCAGAATTTTTCTGCCTCGCCTATATCTCTACATCTGTGCTTCTTCCCTTTGTTTGTGAAAGAAATACCTTCCAGAAATTCCCATATATAGTGGTACCTCGGGTTACAGATGCTTCCGGTTACAGACTCCGCTAACCCAGAAATAGTACATCGGGTTAAGAACTTTGCTTCAGGATGAGAACAGAAATTGTGTGGTGGTGGCACGGCGGCAGTGGGAGGCCCCATTAGCTAAAGTGGTACCTCAGGTTAAGAACAGTTTCAGGTTAAGAATGGACCTCCAGAACGAATTAAGTTCTTAACCCGAGGTACCACTGTATATGGACCAAGAACTTAGATACTTCTTTAAGTAGTCACGTCAGTATTTCCTTCAATATAATAAAATATAGTAAAAAAATGAAATAAAAATACGAAATAAATCCTGTAACTTTTGGCTTCCTTATGAAGTTTCATGAAGGCGGGGGGGGGGGGGAGAGAATGGAGGAGCGCAAATTGGAATAAGAAAAGTACCAGAAACAAAAGAAAGATTATCCTCTTCGACTGCTTCCAAAGTCTAATCCTAGAATCTTTCCAAGCAGCTCCCTTCACTTTCCAAGATTGATCTCCCCCCCCCCTTAATCAGTTCCCAATACAATAAACAAAAAATCAGACGAGATGGAGGATAACAGGAGCCCAGGCTGCAGTCTTGATAACACAGCACGCAAGTCGTAATTAGCTTGAAGATTTATTGCAATACAATTAGCCTCCGACATCTAACGAAGCGTCCATGCCTTAGGAGTCAGTTGACCCTTCTGATGAGTGCTTCCTGGTTCTGCAGAATATCCAACTTCTCTCATGAGACACATCACTAGCTGTGCCTAATTAGCCTGGAAAACCACACCCAGAACTCACAGAAAACATCCTTATCTTCACCTTTTTCCTGTTTCGTGATGAATGATACCTGACTTCTCTCCCTCCCACTCCCTGCTAACTCCTTATCTAGATTCTGTTCTGGTGCAGATGAGGGGAAGGGAGACTGCTCCTAGCTGTCTGACTGCTTCCTAACTCATACTGTGTTTCTCTACTTGGGGCAGATGCGTTCATGACAGAGGATATAGCACACTCACCAAAAATAAAATGTCAAGTCCAAGCACGCAGGTTTCATCTTGCTCTTAAAATTGTTTTTGTTTTGTTTTTTGAATAGGTTAAATTCGTTTTTTAGTGTCCTCTTTTCAGAGTGCAAAAATGAATAAAAGTCAGCAGAGTCTGTAACTAGCTAGCTGACCACAGCATATAAGAAATGAATTAAAAAGAGACATTCCACTCGAAGTCAGTATCAGGAAGATCTCAGTCCCCAACTCAAAGTGAGGGGGAGGGGGCTCATAAAACCACTGTATTTAAAGTCCTCTTGATTACTAAGTCAAATCCAAAATGCAATCTGTCAGGGAAGTGCAAACGGCAAAAGAGCCAAGGGGGGAGGGGGGGAGACCAGCACTTATAGAGAGCCAAAAGAGCTAATTAGCGGCCTCTCATCTGACAGCGAAGAAGAGGCAGGGAGGGGGGATGCTCAGTCCGGAACTAGCTATCCTTTGAACAGAGGAAATAAGAGGCGGGGTTTCCGCTGATTAGCCTGCTGGGGAAGGAGGAGTAAGAAAAAGCCATTCGAGGCATCTAATCAGACAGAGACGGACATGCTTTGAAGCTCTGGAAACCTTTTTGAACTTTGTAAATAAATCTAAAAGACAGAAACTGGCAGCAAGCCTGGAGTTTTATCTATGCTGGCTTTGGCAGCACTCACCTCTCACACAATCCTTCTCCCACACGATTTCTTTAGCATGTAAAAATTCAAATCTTTTTTTCTTAATTTTTACTCTTGCAGAATATTCCCATGCAGTCAATCAAACCACGTCAAGGTGGATCTCCTTTTTTCACCCCGTTGTATTGCCAATTTTAATCCATAAGTTTATGCTGATCGGCTATTTAAATTTTGCTATAACAATTTGGAAAGTTTTACCGCTTGATGTGTAGAGATTGAGGCTTCTTGTCGCTGGGTTACGATTATGCCTTTCGTCTGTGTTCAATCCACCTCCTGCCACTCCTTTCTTTTTAATATTAAATTTTATTAATTTTCAAATTTTAACAAATTGATCTAAATTATTTAAAGTTAATACATTTTTTCTAAAATAATTAGGTTTCCCACTCCTGTTGCAAACAATATGTCCATTGAATTCCTGATGTTAACGCTTCATTCTTCTTCTTTGATCCCCTTCTCAACCTTCTACTAGTTTTAATCCATTTTCATAGCCAGTTGATTTTGTTACCTTGCAAACAGTGTCAATATTTTCCACTGCCACTATTGCAGAGGGTCACGTGATCGGATGATTTCATTTCTTATCACTGTGTGTGTGAGTGGAAGTCAAGCCGACAAACTTCCACTCTTTGCTCTCTGTTCAGCTAGAAAGCTAGAGAGGATGTGTGAGAAGGAGCTCACACAAAATGCCATGTTTCTTTTGCTGCAAATAATAAAATACTTGATGCCACAATTCCTACATAATTTTGCTTTTGATGACTCTGCTAATATGCTTCATATCATGCACATGTCTCTTGGATGTGTGCTGATGCTTTCTACGAGACTCTGGCAAGAGGCACCTCCCATCATCGGTTATGGGCCCAGAATTGAGATTTATGGCGAGAAGAAAGGAATGTGGCTCAAGTCCAGCTGCTAATGAGGCATCTGTCTGTTTGGCTGCTAAGCTCTCTCGGGTGGTTCGCTGATTACGCGAAGAGGGGTGAATTGCAGGTCATCAGTCTCTGCTGCCATGTGCTACATTTGCTAGCTAAAAGTGAGAGCTAGAAATGGCTGGAGTGCAGAGCGGAAACAACGCTTTACATTCCCTCGCCTGGATTCCACAAATTATGCAATGTGGAGCTTTCGTATGGAAAGTTTACTAATGCATGAGAAAATTTGGCATGTCATTATGGAGGACACACCACAGCCCGTCACAGATGCTTGCCGTGAAGCAGACCAAAAGGACAGAGGCACGATCGCACTGGCGGTTTCTGATGCTCAATTAATTAATCTGCAAGGTAAGCAGAGTGCAAGACAGATGTGGGATGCTCTCAGAGACATTCATTTGAGAATTGTTGCCGGGTCCTCTGTAGTGTATTTTAAGAAGCTTTGCTGGATGCAGCTTCAGCCAGGTGGTGATATAGAGGCCATGTGATGCAGCTTAAATTTCTCCAGGAGGAACTTAATAAAAGTGGAGTGAAACTCTTAAGATATTTTCTGTTTCATGATTATCAATAGTTTGGAAGCGAGCTTTGATTCAATTGCTGCCCAGCTTTCTGTCCTCCTGGCAACACAACTGACCATTGATCATGTGGAAGGTATTTTGCTTAATGAAATGGATTGGCGATTAGCCAGGGGGAGTGTGATGGCCTAGGAATCCGATTCAGAGGCTGAACCGGAGGAACCCCAGCCTGCACAAGAGTCCCCGCCTCCAGGGCCGGCTGAGCGGGGCCTTGGATCTGAAGCGCCTGCACCTGATCCTCAGGAGCAGGCACCAGGTGATTCCACTCTAGCTCCGGAGGTGATTAAGGACACAGTGCCTACAGGTGCGCCTCTCCCGGCCCTGCCAGAGGAAGGTGAGTCTCCCCCTGGGTCCAGTAACTCCCCAGCCTCTCCTGAACTGCAAAGGCTTAGGGCAGAGAGGCAGAGGGAACTGGTTTCTCCCAGGAGGAGTGCTCGCCTTAAGGCCAGGAGAGGCGGGTCTCCTGGGGGCCGGGACCGCCCCTGGCCTCAGAGAAGATAAAGGCCAGTCAGCCCGGTCCCAGGTTGTGGGAGCAATGTTGTTGAGTACCTGCTCTTGCCTGGACCCAGACCTGACCTTCCAGTGTTCCTGTCCCCGCCTGGCTTCCTGCTTCGGACCTCGTCTCGCTCCTTGTGAACTGTTTCCAGACCGGTGACCCAGGACCAGACTTTGACTACGCCAACGGTAACCTTCCCCCCGGGACCAGCACAGTTTGCTCCCACCTCACCTGCACTCCCCTTCGTTGGGGTGTGTTCGGGAAGAGCCAGAAGCCATGGCCGACCAAGCAGCTGCGCTGGTGGCATTGGCCCAGGAGAACCAGGCCTTGACTCACACCGTGCAGCAGCTCAGCAATGCGGTTACGGCACTTCAGCAGCGGTTGGACGCCCTACCGGCTCCTGGGGCCGACGCCCCGGCTCCTGGCAAGTACCCAGTGGCTTTGCCAGAGAAATTTGATGGGGCCCCGGCCAGCTTTCCCATGTTCCTCACCCAGGCCAAGTTGTATATTCAGGGGCGAGCCCGGAACTTCCCTGACGACCGCACCAAGGTGCACTTTTTGATTAGTTTGTTAAAGGACCAGGCGGCCAAGTGTGCTCAGGCAAGACTCCCCCTTGCTGACAGACTATATGGGGTTTTGCAATCATTTGGAGGCCGCGTTCGGTAACCCCCAGAAGGGGAGTCAAGCCAACTGGGCAATTAGGCGGTTGAAACAGGGCAAGTCCACTGTGGCCGCATACACCACGGAATTTTGGCTGCTGGCACAGGACTTGACCTGGAATGACTCTGCTCTTCGGGACCAGTATCTCGAGGGGCTTTCGGATGAGATACTGGACCAGCTGGCCACGATGGAATGCCCCAGCACGCTAGACGCCCTCATTCAACTACAGATAGACGATCGGCTGGAGGACCGTCGTCAGGCCCGGGGCCGCCGGCACTTCCAGTTCTCAGCGCCAGTTTCTACCAGCAGCTCCACGGCCACAGCCGAGTCATCGGAGGAGCCTATGCAGCTCGGGGCAGTGCGGCCATGCCTTTCCTCCGCGGAGAAGATGCAGCGTTGGGAGGGGAACCTATGTCTCTACTGTGGCGGAAGCGAACACTATGCCCGGTTCTGTCCTGAGAAACGCCAGCCACAGGGAAACCGCCAACCCCAGTAGCTGATGGCCCTGGCTACCTGGGGTCCCAAACAGCGCAGAATGGGCCTGCACCAATGGAATTGCAACACCTGATGGTCCCGGTGCGTCTATACCCTCCAGGTGGGCCCTGGATTCTTACCCATGCTCTGGTAGATTCGGGGGCAACCCGCTCCTATATGGACGCTGCTTTTGCTGCCCATCATCAGGTGCCACTTCAGAACAGGCCAGAACAGGTACAGGTGGAGGCAATTGACGGACGGCTCCTGCGTTCAGGTGCCGTTACTCAGGAGACCCAGCCCTTGGTCCTGTGTCTCCAGCAGCACCGGGAGATGCGAACTTTGGACGTTGCCTCCATGCCCCGGTTCCCCCTGGTGCTCGGGATGGACTGTCTGGAGGCTCACAATGTTCAGATTGACTGGGTCAAACGGACTGTGCACTTCCCAGACCCATGTTCCCATGCTCAGTCCGAGATGCTAGCAGCCGCGCCCACTGAGGAGGCTGCATCAACGCTCCCCGCCGAGTACCGGGACTACCAAGACGTGTTCGAGGAACGGGGGGCAGACCAGCTGCCGCCGCATCGGTCTTTGGACTGCGGCATAGACCTCCAGCCCGGAGCGCCCCTGCCGGTGAGTCACTTATACTTTATTACAGAGCCAGAGCGTGAAACTTTGCAGGACTTCCTGCGCAAGAACCTGGAGCGTGGTTTCATTCGGCCTTCTACCTCGCCCACCGCTGTGCCAGTGCTCTTTGTTAAGAAGAAGTGTGGGGAGCTTCGCCCTTGCCATGATTACCGGGCCCTGAACAAAATTACCATACCAGACCAGTACCCCTTGCCCCTTATTTCGGAGTTGCTGGAGCGGGTGCAAGGGGCGCAGGTGTTCACCAAGTTAGATCTCCAGGGGGGCCTACAATTTAATTCGGATCCGAGCCGGGGATGAGTGGAAGACAGCATTCGGGACCCAGTATGGGCAGTTCGAATACCTGGTTATGCCCTTCGGATTGTGCAACACGCCCGCTGTGTTCCAACGGTATATCAACCACGTGTTCCAGGACTTGCTAGACAAGTACGTGATGGTGTACTTGGATGACATTCTGGTTTTCTCCCGTGACCCGGCTCACCACGAGGGTCATGTCCGGACCGTGCTGCAGCGTTTGCGGGAGCACCGCCCGTATGCAAAGCTCAGCAAGTGCGAGTTCCATCAGCGGTCAGTGGACTTCCTTGGTCACCGACTCTCTCCAGATGGGGTGCAAATGGATCCTGGGAAGGTGGCAGCGGTTCGGGAATGGGCGGCACCTCGGAACCGCAAGGACCTACAGCGATTCCTGGGGTTCGCCAACTATTACCGGACCTTCATTGCGGATTATGCTCATCGCACCACCCCGTTGACCCGGCTACTGCGCCCCAAGACGCCATTTTCCTGGGACAAGGAGGCAGAGGAGGCGTTTCAGGGGTTGGAAAGCCTGTTTCCAGAGAGCGCCGATCTTGCATCATCCTGATCCCTCTCGACCTTTGTGGTAGAGACTGACGCCTCCAGCACGGCCCTTGGTGCCATCTTGTCCCAGCAGCACAGACCTGAGGCGCCACTCTTACCCTGCGCCTTCTATTCCCGCCAGCTCCTTCCGGCGGAGCGTAACTATACCGTGTGGGAGCGGGAACTACTGGCCATCAAGAAGGCCTTTGAAGTCTGGCCCCACCAACTTGAGGGGGCACGACACCCGGTGGAGGTGAGAACCGACCATCGGAACCTGGAGTACCTCCAGACCACCCGCAAGCTGAACCAAATGCAGATCCGGTGGGCGTTGTTCTTTTCCCGGTTCCAGTTCCGGATCCGCTATATCCCTAGCTCCCAAAACCAGAAGGCGGATGCCCTGTCCTGGAAACCTGAAGACATCGCAGACACGGTACAGCAAGCAGTACCAACCACGATCCTACCACCGGCTGCGTTCTTGGCCACTCAGGAGGCTGAGCCACTGCAGGCTCGGGTGTGGGAACAGCAGCGGGTCGACGCCTGGGCCCAGGAACGACTCTGGGAACTGGCCAAAGGGTCATGCCCTCAGTATCCGGGGCTGGTCTTGCACCAGGGCCTTCTGCTGCACCACGGTGACCTGTACATCCCGCCAGGGCCACTGCGGGCTGAGATACTCCGGATGACCCATGATGCCCCAGCAGCGGGACACTTTGGGCGGTATCGGACCACCCATTTGGTAAGCCGCGAGTTTTGGTGACCCCGCCTGAAGGCTGACGTGGCTCGCTACGTCGCTGGTTGCGACATCTGCCGGCGGGCCAAGGGCCCTAACGGGCGACCCCCCGGCCTACTTCAGCCACTGCCAGTCCCACCACGTCCTTGGCACACGGTTTCACTGGACTTTGTGGTGGACGAAAAGGGATCAGTTTGAAGTCATAAAACCTCGAAATCTTCCATAAATTGGTGCGGCAAAGCATAAAGTTATTTTGGTATTAAACTTGGTGACCAGGATAAAGCTTGGGTGCCACACATGGTGTGCAAGGCGTGCACCGAGACTCTAGGTGGGTGGACCAATGGCAAGAGGAGTCTGAACTTTGGAATTCCCATGGTTTGGAGGGAGCCGACAAACCATGTCACTGACTGCTACTTCTGTGCTGTTGATGTGACTGGGATCAACAGAAAGAACCGGAGCAGCCTAAAGTATCCTGATCTTCAATCAGCACGTCGTCTTGTAGCTCATTGTGATGAAATTCCAGTGCCTATCTTTGGAGAACTTCCTGACATTAGTGACGAAGATGCCTCCAGTGTTGAAGGACATGAAGAAGAAGAAGTGGTTCTTGAAGATGATGCTCCACATCCATTTTCCCAAAAGGAGTTGAATGATCTAGTTCGCGACCTCAGCTTGTCAAAGGACTCTGCCGAACTGTTGACATCCAGATTGAAGGAAAAACCTCCTCTCTGACAGTGCTCACATCAGCTTCTTCCGCAACAGGCATCAAGAGTACCTCCGTTTTTCTCGGAAGAGAAGGACTTGGTGTACTGTGCAGATATTGCGCAGCTTCTGCTCAAGCTTGGAGTGCCACAGTACGAACCCAAAGATTGGAGACTGTTCATTGACAGCAGCAAGCGATCACTGAAATGTGTTCTGCTACACAGCGGCAACCAGTTTGCCTTTATACCCCTGGCTCACTCGAGTACACTGAAGGAGACCTATGAAGCGGTGAAGTATGTGCTGGAGAAAATTGGTTATGATCAGCATAAGTGGTTTATTTGTGTTGACCTGAAGATGGTGAACTTTTTGTTGGGACAACAGTCTGGCTTCACCAAGTACCCATGTTTTCTGTGCATGTGGGATAGTAGGGACCGTGCTCAGCATTACACGAAGAAGGACTGGCCTGTGCGGGAGGAATTGGTGCCTTGCAGAAAAAGGAACGTCATCAACGACCCTCTGGTGGACAGAGACAGAATACTCTTCCCACCGCTGCACATCAAGCTCGGCTTAATCAAGCAGTTCACCAAGGCTCTGGACAAGGATGGTGACTGCTTCACTTACTTGTGCCAGACTTTTCCAGGATTGACCATGGAGAAGTTGAAAGCTGGCATCTTTGACGGTCCTCAGATCCGTCAGCTCATCAGAGATCCAGAGTTCGGAAACTCAATGAACAAAGTGGAACTGGAAGCGTGGAAGGCATTTGTTCTGGTAGTGAAGAACTTTCTTGGCAACAATAAGGCCAGAAACTACGCAGAACTTGTCAACAACATGCTGACTGCTTTCAGAAACCTGGGCTGCAACATGAGCGTCAAGATGCACTACCTATTTTCACATATGGACCGGTTTCCTGAGAACCTGGGTTCAATGAGTGACGAGCAGGGGGAGAGATTCCATCAGGACATGAAAGAGATGGAGACCAGGTCTCAGGGTCGCTGGGACGCAGTCATGATGGCTGACTACTGTTGGACTCTGAAGAGAGACCTCCCTGCCACTGAGCATTCCAGGAGTTCCAAGAAATGGAAGTTCAAGCCCTGAAGTTTGAAAAATGGTGAAGCAACATGCAATTTATGTGTACTTACCTTTATCAATGCCCACCATTCAGTTTACAGTAAACCTGACCTGATGGAGAGAGACAGATGCCATTTCCTGATTCAGCAGTGCAAAAATACCCTAAATCAGTTGTAGAAATCTAGACAACATTCAAAAAGTGAAAAATTGTTGCCCAGTGTAATCTATGTTGGAAATGTAAAGAAAAAGAGGGTACCTTTTATCATATGTGGTGGACCTGCCCCAAGGTGAAAAACTTCTGGGAGATTTATAATGAATTGAAAAAATGTTGAAATATACATTTACTAAGAAACCAGAGGCCTTTCTTCTTGGAATAATAGGTCTGGAATTGCCCAGAAAGATGTTAGATTGTTTTTGTATGCCACAATTGCAACCAGAATTTTGTTAGCTAAGAATTGGAAAACACAAGAAGTCCCAACAGTAGAGGAATGGCAGATGAAGATGATGGACTTTTCGGAGCTAGCCGTCCTGACTGGAAGAGTCCGCGACCAGAAGGAGGAGGAGTACCAAAAGGAATGGATGAAATTTAAAGACTATTTAGTTAAATATGTTAAGATAACTTAATTGGAAAACCTTGCAAATACCAGATAGGCTTAGGATTTAAATATGTGATGTTAGAGAATAATATGTTTAAAGTTAAAATGAAAAGAAAGAAAGATGTTAAGTGATTAAGTTAACTTTTATGAGAAATTTGGTTCTGGAAAACTGTTACATTGATATACACTGAAACTCAGCCAGGGGGATGCGAGGAAGTCACTTAACAATGTTACTAAGATTGGAGTAACTACAGCTAAGATTTATATTTGTTTGTTTGTTTGTTTGTTTAAAATTCTGGAAAATCAATACAAAAAAATTGGAAAAATAAATAAATATTATAAGACATTAAGTGGTCAATTAACATCGGTGCTGTGTGAGGTTATGAATAATATTTTAAAGGAAGGGAAAATTCCTAACACCTGGAAAGAGGCATACATTACCTTAATCCCAAAGAAGGATACAGATGGTTTGGATGTTAAAAATTACAGGCATATTTCCTTATTGAATAATGACTATAAATTATTTATGGATGTGTTGGCGGAAAAACTAAAAAGACTTTTAAATGAAAAAATTCATAAGGACCAAGCTGGCTTTCTTTCTTTTTTAAATGATATTTATTGAGAATTTTAAAGTTACAAAGAAAAAAGAAGGAAAAAACAAGAGAAAGAGAAAAAGAAAGAAAAGGGTAGATAAAAATAACAATTAAACAATACAAATCAATAAAAACCAAAGTCAAAAAGAGAAAACAAAACACACAATACATCAGAATCAAAAAGCAAAAATAAACAAAAAAATTAAAATCAAATCCAATATTCCCAAATCCTTAACTTTCATTAACTTATTTCATCGACCTCCTCACACCTCCCTTTTTTGTATTCTAGTTGTTAATTATCTCAGCAAATCCTTTCCATCTTTCACAATATTCTGTCATTAAATTACCTTAATCTATTTTGACCTTATCTTACCATAAAAACCCTAAAGCTTAAAACTTAAATCTTATTTATACCAAATTCTTTTAACCATAACATATTCTTACATAATTCTTTTTAACATTTCTGCTAAAGCCAAATAATTTCATTCCAACATTTTTCTAATACTCATTAATTTTACGATTATTTTCTAAATAAATTTTTAAAACTTTCTTCCAATCTTCATCCATCGTCTCTTCTTCCTGGTCTCGGGTTTTGTCAGTCCTTTCTATCCCATCCATCTAGTCCATCAACCTGGTGACCTTCTATCCGAGGCTCTTAAGTCTTTTCCATGTCCCTTCCGCAGGTCTTCTTCATGTTTATACCTGTACTTTACTTTGTCTTCTGCTGATCTTATTCTTAATTTCCTTCCTTTCACTCGGGGAGACTCCAACTTGACAATATCTTTGTCCCTTCTCGACAAGTCAGCCCATTTTCCATAGTCAACACTGAAATCCATGTAATATTTAAAGGCATGTTTCAAAGTCCCTCCAAAGTTAAGGGCCCCCACAACTCCGAATTCCCCCCGGCCCAAAGCCAGACTCGAAAGGTCAAAACATCCCTGCATAGGGGGATCCATCCAGCCCCCCATCTCCAAGCCAAACAGAACTCCATCTCTCCAAATCTGACTTTTTCCAGGTTTATTCGTCAAATCCAACAACTCATGTTCCTGCTGGGCCGCAGCTCTCTCCATTTCTGCTACTTGAGGTTCAGCAACAACCTCCTCCTTTATCTGATCTGTCAAAGCACATTCCTGGATTAATTCCTGAGTGGGTTCTATATAGGTACCCACTGCCTGTCCAAAATTTTCGACCGCAACAGTCATCAAATCCATCTTCTCATGTAACTGTTCCAATAAAGCACTTGTCTTGCAAAGAGCAAGCACCAAAGCCTCCTCTAAGCACATTCTTGTTCAAGGTCGAAGTCTGGTCCCACGATCTTTAATCTCTACAGCTGCAAAGCTCCCCAGTTTGACTCTAATAACAGTTTCACAAGCTCCCTCTAGGGGAAACAATTTCTATTTGTATCCATCTTTTTTTTTTTAAAAAAAAAAAAAAGCAGATCTAGCAACAAAGTTTTCCTTTTTCGGATATTTTGTTCCTTTTAAATGCGAAAGGGAACAATGGAATCAATATGTTTCACTTCTTTTGACTATCTGTCAAAAACGTTTGTCCACAGTCAATGAACTGCCCCAAAACGTCTGTCCTGACACCCCGCTCCCAGGTTCAAGACGGTGGAAACTTATCTTTCTTTACTCTCTCTTCTGCAGGTTTAGACAGTCTAAAAAAGGTTCCCCCCTCTTCTCCTGCTTCCAAGGGGGGTTCAGTAATTTTAAATGGTGAAAATTTAATCCTTTACAAACGACTTTCCAGACTCTAGCTTGCCGTGTCTTTGCTTCAATCTATTTACAAAAGCAGAAGGCAGACTTCCTGTTTAGACCTTCCCGCTTCGGTGCCAAATTAAGAAATTTCATAGTCCAATTTTCCGTTCTACTCACGGGCAGTTCGTTGTTTAAAATCCAATTGTCCACAGGAAAAAGTCAGCGCTCTCCGGCAACAGCAATGTGGCTTCACTCCGTGAAAAGAGCAGTCGATTCGAAGCACTGCGCCATTCACCTCACGTCGCTCCGGTTTCCCCGCAAGATGGGAGGCGCAAAAGGTGCCAGCCGAATCCCACGTCCACAGGCTTCTCCTGCCTGTGGTTTTTAGTGGGTCTCCGCCTCGCCGCGGCGGTCCAGACCCTAATTCTCACGGAGCGGATTCCTCCCGATCAGAGGAAATCCGCCATTGCCGGAGGCGCTAACCCGGAAGTTAGGACCAAGCTGGCTTTCTACCAGGGCGACAATTGAAGGATAATGTTAGGAATATAGTAGACATCACTGAGTATTTGGAAATTAAAAATGATAAACAAGCGGCTATGGTATTCATCGACTCCGAGAAAGCATTCGATAATGTTTCATGGAGGTTTATGAAAGAAAATTTAAAAATAATGGGAAAAGGCGAAGGGTTTTTGAAAGGTATTGAAGCTATATATTCAGAACAAAAAGCCCAACTTATTATAAACAATAATTGCCGGACACTTTTGAAATTTCCAAGGGGACCAGACAGGGGTGTCCCCTGTCACCTTTGCTGTTTATTGTGGTTTTGGAAGTTTTAAATAAGAATTTGAGAGAAACGTCAGAAATTAGAGGTATTAAGGTGGGAGTAAAGGAGTTTAAAATAAAAGCGATTAAGATGAACATTTTACCTAGAATGCTATTCTTGTTTCAAACAATTCCAGTGATTAAGGGGACAGGACAATTTAGAGAGCGGCAAAAAATATTGTTGAGATTTGTCTGGAAGGGAAAGAAGCCGAGGATTTAAATGAAAATTTTGACAGATAAAAAAGAAAGAGGCGGATTTGATCTGCCAGACATGAATCCCTATTATGAAGCATCCTGTCTTGTATGGTAAAGAGAATGGATAACACTGGAAAACACAGGTCTTTTGTATCTAGAAGGGCATGACAACAGGTATGGGTGGCACTCGTACCTGTGGTATGATAAGGTAAAGGTCCATAAAGGTTTTTTTTTAATCATGTGATAAGAAGGTCCATTTATGAGGTGTGGGAAAGAAATAAAAATTTATTGGAAAGGAAAACCCCATGGTGGATATCACCAATAGAAGTGTTGACCATCAAGAAAATGAATATTGACGGAAAGAGGGCCACCTATGAGGAAATCACTAGAAGAACGGAACAAGGGATAAAACTTAAGCCATATGATCAAATAGAAGGTATGCTTACAGGTTGGTTGCAATATCATCAGGTTAATGATATTTTGAATGAGGACAAAAGGAAAGTTAGGTTTGAAAATAAAAATCAAGATTCCAAATAGACTTAATAGAAGGCAGATGTAAATTATTATTTAAAGTGTACGATTTGTTATTAGAGTGGTTTACAAAAGATGAAGAAGTGAAAGAAGCAATGATAAAATGGGCTATAGATTTTGGGCATAATATTGAAATGGATGCATGGTATCAGTTGTGGAATGTAAATATGAAATTCACGGCTTGTACAGCTTTAAAAGAAAACCTAATGAAAATGATCTATAGGTGGCATTTAACGCCGGTAAAGGATAAAGGATAAAAAAATGTTGGAAATGCAAAGAGGCCGACGGGGACTTTTATCACATGTGGTGGACTTGTGACAAAGTTAAGAACTTTTGGGAACTAATTTATAATGAAATTAAGAAAATATTTAAATACACCTTTCCCAAAAAACCAGAAGCCTTCTTGTTGGTTTTGATGGGGAAGAAAATTAAGAAAGTGGACCAAAGACTCAGCAGCGGCAGGAAATAGGCTTGCCCAAAATTGGAAACTGCAAGAAATTCCTACTATTGCGGAGTGGCAGACGAAAATGATGAGCTACGCGGAGTTAGCCAAACTGACGGGAAGAATTCGGGATCAGGACGAACAGAGGTTTCAAGAAAGTTGGAGTAAATTTATGGTGTATATAAACGATAATTGTAAAAATTTAAAAACACTGGCAGGACTGGAATAGCTCTTACAATGTATGACAGATATAAGGGTTAAAAAAAAAATAGAATACGCGACACAAGAAAATAAGGGATACTCACTGAAGAGATGGAGGGAAGTCACAAGCTCGGCAGAGCTAAAAGTATTTAAGTGATTTATTGTAATGTATTGTAAAAGTATGTATAAGGAAAACAATAAAAACATTTATAAAAGAGAGACTTGGGGTTCTTTGCAAATATTTGCAGTAAGTGAACAAGGCTCACCTTCCAACATTTAGCACTGTGGGCAGTGAACTTTCCCAAATCCCTTTATTTCACACTCCCTATATTCCAGAAGAGGGACGCGGGTGGCACTGTGGGTTAAACCACAGAGCCTAGGGCTTGCCGATCAGAAGGTCGGCGGTTTGAAACCCCGCGATGGGGTGCGCTCCCGTTGCTCGGTCCCTGCTCCTGCCAACCTAGCAGTTCCAAAGCACATCAAAGTGCAAGTAGATTAATAGGTACCGCTCCAGTGGGAAGGTAAACGGCGTTTCCGTGCGCTGCTCTGGTTTGCCAGAAGCGGCTAAGTCATGCTGGCCACATGACCCGGAAGCTGTACGCCGGCTCCCTCGGCCAATAAAGCGAGATGAGCGCCTCAACCCGAGAGTCGGTCATGACTAGACCTAATGGTCAGAGGTCCCTTTACCTTTACATTCCAGAAGACCAAGAGCTCAAACAGTTCCCAGATCACTTCTCCCTCCCCAGAGGATAAAGCATTTAAAACACAGGGAGCTCAAAGAAAGAGGGGGAGGATAATTTACCAGAACTTCAATCCTTGCCCACCTCCACTTTTTGCCTTCCTGGCTTTCACTTTCCTTTCCAAAAGACCAAAAATAGGAATCTTTTGAGAAAGATTTCTAAGCTGCTTTGTGCCCCACAAGCAATAACCAATATAAAACCAGACAGCAGAAACATCTTCAGACATCTAACAGATGTATGGTGACATAACCTTTAAAGGCTAGAACAGAGATGGAGAGTCTCTTGCTTCCCAATTTTTTTATATATATACAATTTATTAATTTTACAATAAGAAAAAGCATTCATCACATTCAAAAATTTAAACCATAAATCTAGATTGACTTCCCTCCACTCCCCTCCTGGTTCCATTATTTTATACTTATTTATGCACATCCTTAAACTCTTATATTCTTAACATCCAATTTTGCAACCTTATTCATCTTATTACAAGTGACAGTTTGAAGTTCACCTAATGTAGAAACCTATACACAAAGCTCACAAAATATGCATTAAACCTTTCCACTCCTTTTTTTTTTTTAAAAAAAATGTCCTTTCTTTAAAACAGTTCTGTTTTAAAATCAAAAGCAAATCATACAATTCAAATCTTATACAGTGGTACCTCGAGCTAAGAACTTAGTTTGTTCTGGAGGTCCATTCTTAACCTGAAACTGTTCTTAACCTGAAGCACCACTTTAGCTAATGGGGCCTCCCGCTGCCGCTAAACTGCTGCTGCGTGATTTCTGTTCTCATCCTGAAGCAAAGTTCTTAACCCGAGGTACTATTTCTGGGTTAGCGGAGTCTGTAACCTGTAGCATCTGTAACCTGAGGCGTCTGTAACCCGAGGTACCACTGTATTCTCTTGCACTACGGCCTGGCTGGTTTGTTTTAACATTGAGATTTTTTTCTTCTGCCATTTCTAATCTAGGGTAAGGCGGGGTCAGTTCCCCCATTCCCCAGCTTCCTCTATAGAATTAGATTTCAAAACGAAGAGTCCTTTCCCACCACAAAGAATGTTATTTTTAGCTTTATCAGTACTTTGTCAAGAACATTTCGCTAGGCTCAGTAGAGGAAGCCAGTACTTCCAACCTAATCCCACCCCCTCTCCCCCATTACTGACAAATACAAATTTTAGCAATTATATATTCAAATCTTTACATCCATTCATATCAAAATAATTTTAATATCCTGTACAATAAATCTATATTATTGAGTTTTATTTTGAATCTGGTTTAGTCCAATATTAGCAATGAGTATTCTAGTCCTCTTTTTACAATCTTGATTTTAACCAGCTAGTGCCTTGTAATAAACCTTTGACACTTTAATTAACACAGAAGCTCTTTCCCAGAGGTAAAGTAATTTCCAGAGTCAGTCCTGTCTTTCTTCCAGAAAAGAAAATTATAGTATTCCTCCATTAAATAACATTGTAATCCTTCTCAGATTTATCCTCCATTTTGGGTCAAGTTCAATCTTGTCAAAAAGTAAGTTCAAGTTCAAATTAAGTTCGAGTCAAGGCCATTGCTTTAAAAAGTCTTGAGATTGGTATAGACAAAAGCTATGTGAAATATTTTAATCCTGGTTATTCATTAATTAACTTATTTCCCAAAGTGAATTTCATCCACACTTCACTTGTAAGTATTTTGTGCTTTTAGCACCAAGAACGGGAGCAGACTTCCTTTATCACTCCCATTTCTCTTGCCAGATTAGCCAAATTTCAATTAATTGTCTCCTCACCTTCCAATTGGCACAATATGCTGGAAAGGTAACCACTTGTGGCTGGATCAGAGGCTTTGCTTTTGCGGAGCTGCGTTGGTGCCTAGCTCACCGGCGCTCTCGGCTCCCCCCGTGCCTTTCAGGATGGAGGCAGGGACTGGCAATGTCGTGGCGCCGTCTGTGAGCCGAAGGTGCCCGAGACACTCCTTTTGGGGTTTTCTGGGGAAGGTGCTCTTCCCCAAGGCTCCGCAAAGCTGAATCTGATGGAGCCGTCCGATTCATGGTCCACCCGCCATGTCACGGGAACCCGGAAGTCCTTGCTTCCCAGATGTCAAGTACTAAAACTACCATCCTCCTTCCCTTATTGGTCATGTTGGCGGAGACTAATGTGAGTTGGAGCCCAACTATGTCTGGAGGGCTACAGATGCCCCAGCCTTAGAGTCTATTTCCTTGGGTGTGTGAAGTATTATAAACAATTAACACTGGGACTGTGCAGGTAGAAGAAAGCTCTACCAATCTCAAACAAATATTCGATGAAACAGACACAGAGGATGGTGATACAGAGCAGTCTTTGTGGTTTCATCAAGGCTTTAGAAATCCACACTATGGGAGAGAAGTGTCTCATGCTCTTTCAGAAGTCTGGAGTGGCAAAAGTCAAAGAAGTGTTAAATACAGTATTGGCCACATCATGTGGGGTGAGGGGCTTAATAATTTGGCATGGAGTCATCAAAATGGCAGTACATGGGGTAAAGGGAGGTTTAAACCTTCCTTGCCCTGCCACAGTTGCAAAAAATCTGCCTCCCCCCACCAAAAAAGCTGCAATTTGCCTGGGAAGATAATATGCCTATTGAGAATGTGGTCAAATCCACATCATTAATTTAGAGCACATTCAGTCATATGGCTTCCCAAATAATTCTGAGAACTGTAGCTTGTTAAAGTTAATAGATATGTGAAGGGTAAACAGTTACACGGGTGGTGCTGTGGGTTAAACCACAGAGCCTAGGGCTTGCCAATCAGAAGGTCGGTGGTTCGAATCCCTGCAACGGGGTGAGCTCCCATTTCTCGGTCCCAGCTCCTGCCAACCTAGTAGTTCGAAAGCACACAGTGCAAGTAGATAAATAGGTACCGCTCTAGCAGGAAGGTAAATGGCATTTCCGTGCGCTGCTCTGGTTCACCAGAAGCAGCTTAGTCATGCTGGCCACATGACCCAGAAGCTGTACGCCGGCTCCCTTGGCCATTAAAGCGAGATGAGTGCCGCAACCCCGGAGTCGTCTGCGACTGGACCTAATGGTCAGGGGTCCCTTTACCTTTACACAGTTACCAGGATTCTTGGAGGGAGGTGTGTTTCAAATGTATGGTATGTACGTAGCCTGATTAAAAGAATTCCAGTTCACAAAACCTTACACCAAAACAAATCTCTTTTAAGATGACAATAGGACTCCGGTACTTCCAGAACATGCACTCCGAAAAGTGGGTCTTCCCAATAGGATGCCTGATGTAAGCTAATGACTTCCTAAAAATCACTGCAACCCCCCCCCCTCCCCACCCACATGCCTTGGGATGCTGTGCATAAGAGAAACTTGGTGGACAAGCAGCAGTGAGAACAGTTGCAGCTGCCATGTGCAACCAAATCTCTGTTATAGATGCCAGGTCAATCCCTTCATCTATGATCAAATCATGGATGGCAGTGGTTTTATAAATCATTGACCTGGCATTGCACAGACACTTAAAGGCGATGTGGGGCACCCTTGTTGATACCTGCATCCTTTTGACCATGACTAGATCTGGAGGCAGGTATATTCTTCAGACAATGATTAACCCAGCCTCCTTGGTAATGACATAGACTGGCCCTCAAGCAACTTTTTGGAGGTTTGCTTGGGCCTGCTACTGGTGCCAAATTAAACAAGTTTTCTCCAGTACGCTGTTCGAACGGTGATTCTGGATCACAACTAGGATTGCCCTCAGAATCACTTGATGATCTTGCTCTCATTTTGAAAACATCTGTATCCATATTCTGCTACCAAAAAATATATTTTGTTACTTTACTATACTACACTGAAATGTTTAAGTGTTTCTTTGATTGATAACAGGGTGCATATGTGCCTGGTGCCTGGCTAATTTCGAACACTGTTTGAACCTTAGAAGGTATTTTGCTTTGCTGCTCAACCTGCTAAGATTTATGAGTGTTTCAGGACCGCCTCTCCTGGTATGCCCCACGGAGGACCTTACGGTCTGCAAATAATAACGTCTTGGAGATCCTAGGCCTCAGGGAGATTAGGCCGGCCTCGACCTTCTTTCCTTCTTGTGGGGAGCCACCACTGCTACAGCCATCTATTATTTTTGTTTGCATTTTTATTTTTAATTCCCTTTCCTTATTTTTTAAAATATTTCTCAATAGGTTTTTCCCTCCCCCCAATTTTTTCTGATCGTTAATAATTAAAATGACGGTGCCCAGAAGAGAGCCCTAAGCCAACATAGGCCACTGTGAAATAAACTGGATGTCCAGCACGCTTCCGCTACGCCTCTGGACTTCTCCCAGCTGCCAGCAGAGCATCGCGAATAGCGGTGTGTGCTCTGTGTGGGTGCAGAAATAACAGATTTAGGAAGAAGCTGTGTACAGACTAGAAGCTTTATTTACAGCAGAGCAAAATAACTCATTCCAGGAGTGAGCCAGCATGGCTGCCTCCCCCCCTCAGAGCAAAAACCCAGAAGTAACTTGGCTCACACACAAAGAACATTCCAGTATAGCCCCCAGAGGACAGGACTACAGACAGAGCTATTAACCCTGTAAGCTCTGATTCTCCTCACAGCCACTTCCTGGGATTGCCGCTTCACCCCTGACTGTTCTTTTTTAATTTTAATTTTATTATTCTCTTTAATTTTTTAATTTTCTCATTTTTAAAAAATTAAATAGGGAAAAAAGAGTAAAACAAAAATCTGAGTCCCCTTTTTGTTTGTCAGTGGTTTTTTGGGGGGGTCCTTCCTCCCCCTGCTCCCCCATTACGATCACCATCCTCTTTTAAAACAAAACTTTCTACTCCATACTATTGTTATTGCAACTGTTACTTTCCCCTTCCTCTCCCTTTTTTTCTTTCCTTTTTCTCTCCTTCCCCCCCTTTTCTCTTTAAAGAGAATACACACACACACATTTTATTTTATTCTTTCCCTCTCAAAGGGGTTTTCTACATATATTTTATTTTATACTTTTATCACTTGGTACATATACCAGGGATGTCCAACAAGTAGATTGTGATCTACCGGTAGATCCCTGGCTGATCTTGGTAGATCGTGGTATCTTTATCGTGTACAAAAAGTTACGGGGGGGGGGGGGAGAGCTCAACAACTCTTGGCAATCCACCCACCCACCCCATGCACACTCCTCCTCTCTCCAGTGACAATGGGTAGATCACTGCCAGATTTTTTTATACTGGGAGTAGATCACAGTCTCTTCATAGTTGGACATGCCTGATATATACTACCTTCCAGGTACTACCACTTCAACATCTTCAGTTGTTTCTTTTCCTTTTTCCTTTCTGGTTTTGTTTGTTTTTTGCTCTTTGTTTTTTGCTTTCTCTTTCCTTCCCTCTTAACTCTTAAATCTCCTACCCCCTCCCTCCCCCCTTTTCTCTTCTTCCCCCTCAACAAATAATAATAAAAATCACAGACCTACACACATATATCTCCCCACCCACTTTCAATAGTAACCCACCAACCCTCTTTGTGGCCACTCACTTCATACTATAACTTGGACTATCACTGCAATTATTTATCATTACAGTGGTACCTCGCAAAACGAATGCCTCGCAAGACAAAAAACTCGCTAGACGAAAGGGTTTTTTGTTTTTTGAGCTGCTTCGCAAGACGATTTTCCCTATGGGCTTGCTTCGCAAGACGGAAACGTCTTGCAAGTTTGTTTCCTTTTTCTTAACACCGTTAATACAGTTGCGACTTGACTTCGAGGAGCAACTCATAGAACGCTGTGTGGTAGCCTTTTTTGAGGTTTTTAAAGACTTTGGTGGTTTTTGAAGCTTTTCCAAAACTTTCCCGACACCGTGCTTCGCAAGACGAAAAAAATCGCAAGACGACAAAACTCGCGGAACGAATTAATTTCGTCTTGCGAGGCACCACTGTACTATTACTAATTTTTCCCCTCATCTATTTCATAGAATCATAGAATCATAGAGTTGGAAGAGACCACATTTCTCTCTCCTCTATTTCTTCTTTATATTTTACTCCATTTTCCCTTCCTTCCCTTCTCTTTTCTTCCTTTTCCTCTCTCCCTTGTCTTTGTTGTGTTTTGTGTTGTTCTGCTCCTGAACACAACCTTGCCAGTCTTAAATTCTTAACTCTCTACTACAAATCCCTAACCTCTTTTCCCACCCTTAACTGGATCCCACTGCCCCATTGTGTGCATGAGCATGTAGGTATGTGCCCACAGGGATATCTACAAATTACCCTCCCCACCCTCCCTCTCCCTCTGGCCCCACCCTATTGGTCTCTTGAATCTCTGCCTATTAACCCTTTTATGTCAACTGTTTGTCTGTTGGTCTATTTGTCTGTTTGCTTGTCTGCCCCCTGCTTCACCAACACTGCTGAGGCAACTACAGAAACCCCAGAGAAGCCCTTAAAACACAGCCCAGATGTGACAAAAATGGCCGCCTAATTGACTATGTTAGAGAAGAAACAAGAAGGGAGGGCAAAAGGTTTAAGAGGCTACCTTATGTGGTGGCAATGTAAAATTATCAAAAGGCCTGGGGAAAGACATATAAAAATTTTAAGAAAATGTGGGGAATGATTGTTTAAAAATCGAAGTTATGATCTTGAGATGTACAGGACTTTATGGATTGTTTGAGGGGAAAACTTTGTTCCGATATACGAGACTGGATGCCGGGCCAAGACCAGCCAGCCCCTATGGAAGGAAGACGACTCAGCCAAAGAAGATAAAGAAAAACACTGGTAAAATAAATTACTGAACTATGCAGAACAAATTATTATAAAAAGGGCAACTGTTAAATGCATATTTTTAAGCTTTGTGTATATATTATTACATTAGTATAACTTTTAAAAGTCACTTGTACTAAGATGAAGGAGGTTTTAAAATTGGACTGTTAAGTATATAAGATATTATGGACGTGCATGAACAAGTATATTATAATGGAACCAAGAGGCGGAGTGGAAGGAAGTCAACCAAAAAATTATGGTTTAATTTGGTTATGATTTTTTTCTTTTCTGTTTTTTCCATTTTGATATTTTTGGAAAAACAATAAAATTTTATTTAAAAG